CTCTCATCTCTCTCATCTCTCTCATCTCTCTCATCTCTCTCATCTCTTTCTCATCTCTCTCTCCTCTCTCTCTCTCTCTCTCCTCTCTGTCTCTCGTCTTTCCGTCTCTCTTCTCTCGCAGGAGGATCCGGGCAAAGAGCCATATATAAAGGACTTTTCACCCCTGCCTCCAAAAAGAGCGCCGTGTTTTTTCCTACCTCGCTGCCCTCCACTTTCCCATTCTGGAGCGCTAGCTTTCGCCCCCCCCTTGGCCTCAAGTATATATAGAGAGAGAGAGAGAGAGCGATGGCTTGCAAGGGTAAGGACCATTTCCGACACTTTCCGTGACGATGTTTGGCTCCTCGTCATACTTATCTCTTTGGACTCATTTCTGAGGGCCACGAGAATTGACATGTCAATCCTGTTTCCTTTGTCTATGTTTGATCTACTTGGTCAATACGTTGTCTAAGTCGGCAATGCGCTTTGCTCCCGCTTTGCTCCTTTGGGCTTCCCGTCATTGAGCATAACTCCTTGACCCTGACGACCAAAAGAAGACAGGTCACGTCGTGCGAAACGCGCACTTTCTTCCGAGGTGCGAATGACGTTTCGATAACCCTCACAGCATTTCGGCTGTATTTTGAAGCACGTCTACTAAGTACGGTTTAACAGACAGTTGCATGTTTGTCCCGTTTACAGTGTACGATGAAAATGGGTTCGCCAGAAAGACAGGGGAATCTTTCAGCCAGGCGTCCGAATGGGTTCAAACTGGTCACGCGTCTTCGTCCAACCTTTCCTGGAGACTTGAACGGAGACGCTTCAAGACCTTAAAGCGAAACGTGTCACAATTACTATTGTACAATTATACATTCTGACACGGCTTGCGCGAGGCGCTGAACCTTCTTGGACCTGTGCGCGAATGGTTGAATATGCCTGAAAAAGGCCACCTGTTTGGGCTGTGATTCCAAAAAACATGAGCTGTCCAGACACCGACGAAGACACCCGACAAACCGAACACTGCAGGAGCCCCCAAAGCCGAAGCCGAAAGCTCCGGTGCTCCGGGAGACTTGCACCGTGACCTTGGCCCAGCGGCCGTTTGGCATGGCGCCCTCGAAAGAGGACCGGTGATTTCTTGAAGTTGTGGAGATGTGTTTAATTGTTTTTGCACGAAGATATCTATTACAGTAGGAAGGTTCCAAGGTGTCGCATCATGCGAGTGCATGTCAGTGCATCATGCTGGATGAGGGCAAGGAAACAGTGCAATGCAAGGAAAGATGTCCACATTACATTTTGGATGATCCCTAAAAGGTGTCCAAACAAAAGGCTGAATGAGTTGCTCAGATCTTCTCAGGAGAAGGGCTATGTTGTGGAGAAGCTTGCAGAGGGGAAACCTGCGGCTGAGGTGTGGGTCGTATTGTGAGTTGGTGTACGAGACACTCAAGGATTCATAGTCTTAATGGAAGAACTCCAGCACCAGTTGCGATGAAGGAACCCTGTGAATAGGAGGAAAATGGGATATGGTCCGCCCAATGTTCCATACAAGACCCTCCCAGGCTGGCGTGGATTCTGGCTGGCGCGTGGTGCGAGTGGCTGGCCAGGACTGTAGTGAGAAGTCCTCAGCAGACATTCAAGGGCTCCTGAGACTCGTCAATGACGTTTTTTGGATCTTCTCATTCCAATGTTTGATGTTCACATGGTTCACAAGTACGATTTATATTATATGATTTAGAGTGGTCCCCCTTCCGGGGGCAACAGATATAAACATCGGGGTATCCAAGGTCCTAGACATACCCAAAATTTGAGACAGACTGACAGGAAACATCCAGAATCCAGGTGAGGTTCTTTACAAACAGACTGAGCATGTCATTGGGTTCGGAGGGTTCCACACTGGTTGCGCATTGCGGCAGAGAAGTGAGTTGAAGAGCACATTTGGGAGCACTCATTGCCTGCAGTTCTGGACCGAAGGGCTGGCTTTTCTCGGCTTTCTTCGATCGCTTCGAACACGATCCTCGCTTCGATCCGAGGAAGGAAGCGGCATTGCAACTTGCCCTTGAAAATGACCGGACAAAATCCCTCCATGTAGATAGGATGCATTTGCGGATCTCACCAAATATGCTTAGAACGGCCCCGGTTTTTGAGGTGGAGTTTGTCCATCAACAGTGACAATGTGTGTCAAGTCATTGATTGGCTTACCTACACAGTGGGAGATTGTGAAATACCCAGAGTAGTTTGGGTGGCTGGAAGCGACTCCATTTCTTTGTTCATCAAGCAGAAGTGAAAGATAGATCCAACACGAACTGCCCAAGGCCTGTGGAAGTGCAATTCCAAAAGCCAGAAGAGGTCGAGTGACGTGGGGGACTGATGATTTTCAACGGAGATCACGGACGGCGAAATCTTGTGCCCAAATGGACCTTGATGTACTGGGAAAAGGGGAGATGCTCAGTGCTCAGAGAGGGAAATCTGCCAGGGTGGTGAGCTTTCTTCCCATTTTGTAGCCATATCTTTCTGAAAAAGGAGAGAAGTCATAATGCCTCCTTCAAAGCATGTTGCAGCAGCTGGCCATCCAGCAGAACCACCTCCAATGATTCAGTCAACATCTCATGCTTGGTGCTGGAAGACCATCACGGCAGGAGGCCTTGCCCAGCAGTGAAGAGGATGAGAACAACATCCAAAATGTGCGTGCAGATCATCGACGACAACATGAGGCAGACTGAACTGCAGATCCTAAAAGAATGAACGACTAGAACAAGCTCGAACACATTTATCCAACTGTACAACTAGAATAGCATACAAAACCACAAGGAGTTTAGTGCAAGCTTCGGGCGCCTCAAGAAACTTGGGTTTGCTGTCTTGGAGGGAGGGAAAGACTGTCACATGTCATGTTGCATGCCTCTCCCAGGGCAACTTCAGTTGGTTGAGTTTCAACGTTGTGGCTTGGGGGGCCCGCCATTCATTCGGGTTCGAGAACGTCGCACCAGTGATGGCGAGTTCGTCATTTGTCGGTTTCTTGGTACTCTTGTTTGAACCAGTTGTAGTAAATCACGGGTTTCCAAGTGACAGAGGGAGTGCAAGGAGCCTATGGAACGCTGTTCCACATTGTGAAGAGGTGTAGGGCTCTGGAAGATAGATTTATCCTCAGAAGCACCACAATCATAGAAGAGCCAAGGAATGTCAACAAGGTCTAGTGTGAATGTAAATGTACGTATAAACGACAGAAAGAGGATGCCTGTCACACCAACTAAGTCATAGAGATTCCACAGAGCAAACTCACTCTGAGTGCAAAATGAGTCCTGTCGCTCACTTTCATTTCAAACCAAATAGTCCTGTCGTGTTTCCACCCCTGGACTGGAAATTCATGATTCACGCACCAGGCGTCCTTGTCCAACATCGATGATTTGCCCGTGGAACGAGATCCCAGTGATCTGCCGGAGCCCATCGCTTCCTGGCGTGTCCCGGCGGGAAGGGAAGGGAAGAATGTCGTTTCTTTTCGATATTTTTGCTAGAAACTGCTTAGCTGGCGGTCTCAAACCACGGACAGCTTGAAAGTCAAAAAACAGCTGGAAACTGCTTTGAAAGAGACGTCATGGACCCACTCCGTCACTCCAACTAGTGGGATGTCCTGGACGGTTTCACGATGGATGACTTTTGCCAAAGCACGGATATCATGCTGCAGTCAAATGGATTATTTTGCCATTGATGGGGATGTGGGAATTTTCTCCGTACCCGAACAAGCTGGCAGAGATGAACATTTCAAGGGAAATACATGGAAATACGATATATGCACTGTATAGCACAACAGATGATATCAACAAAATAACAACGATATATCACAAGAATTGGTTTGATGGGTGCATGTTCAATTACAACTACATACTATGATACACTTTTGGGGGCAGCAGTAACCTTCTTTGAAAGGACTTGGCTGAGTTTCCCTTGATAGGGCCAAAGTATTCTTGGAGGGGAAGTTCAGTGTTTTGGTGGATCCAGGCCATGACTCAAAAATATAGCGTTGCAGCAGGCCACACACTAAGCATAAGCAGAGTTCGGCAAAAGCCCTAGAAGCCAAATGATGGAGAAGGCATCCCTGTGAGATTCCAGATTCCCTCTTTCTTGCATTTTCTTGCTGTTCGACTTAGGAGATGCTTGTGAGCGTCGCTTGTTGAACGCTTCTATTGTTCACAAGCTGCAGCTTGGCGCGCGACCGGCCAAAATCGAAGCGGACGAGACGAGAGCCTCGACGAGAGCTCCAGACCACCCTTAGTCTTGATTCTTGATGAGAGCTCCAGACATGTTTGCCCGTGCAAATGCGCGTTGGAGAATCCATTTCTGGTACAAACCACGCGGGTTGAAGTTGTGAGTTTTCACTAATCGATTATCATCGATTCATATCACCGGGCAGAATCCTGGTATCCTGTGGCAACCATGGGGTAAGATCAACCACGGGGCTCCAACTCAGTTGATCAACAATGCAGCTCAGCCGAGCTTGCCGACTGCTTGTATTGAACCTGCTACCCCTATGGCGAGGTCGAAGATTCCAGGCATCACGTGGTGTCATCACTGGTATCCACGTGGTTGATAAACCTAATTACTGATGGATACTGATCGTAGTTGCACACCCCCAAGCTTTCTCGTTGTGAACCACCGGAGGACCAGTATTCCGAACGACACCACTCATCAGCTGCCCCACCACACCGAGGCACGCGGCCGGTCTCAAACGTCCCACGCTCATCCAGCGCCATGCCGTGCCCATCGTGGGGCACAAGGAACACTATGACCTTGTAGCACAAGCACAAACAGGCGATGTGAAAGATCACAACTTTGGGTGTTGTTTGGTTTGATTGGGCTTGGTTTAAAGTGGTTGGTCTTTTTAGCAGGTTCAGTTTGACCACAGTGACATTCACGAGCAGTGCCAAGGCTTGAACATGATAGGTTGGGAGCAAATCTCTTGGTCTTTGTGCGTCCGGGCATGTGCTGGACATGAATTTGATTTTGTGGGGTTCATAGCATGCTGTTGCTCGTTGAGTCTTGTGTCGAAGAATAGATGACATGAGATCCTCTCAGGATCAATACATTTGTGAGCAGAAACACCTCACTCACAACCAATCATGTGATGCCGCATGCCTTCAGCAGTTGCAATTGTTGCAATGTCTTGGACGCAGATCCCCTCGGCCGAAAACGACATGTCGAAGGCAATTGTGAATCAAGTCGGTGGTAGATGCTGAGATAGCTAGACTCAGTCGATTCCGTGGAAGAGGTTCATCCTCCCTACTGGGGACGGCTCAAACCGTACATATCTAGCAGAATCTAGCAGCCAGCAACACCTAGACACGAGGTGCCAGTATTCTCCGCAAAGTATTCAAGCCCTCCAGAGAGTCATTGTAAAGACAGATCAACATGATCGACACTGCCTCTTTTGCAGGCAATCCTATAATCCTCCGAAGGATTCATCCTTGCTGTAATGTGCATTGTACCACACCTTTGATGTCTAGACTTCTTTTGGCAGTTCATCGCATGCTATTAGTAATAAGTGCCACGCTACTAGGAACAAGTGCATCGCTTCTAGTAACAAGTGCCTTACTAGTAGTAACAATAAGCTATTAGAAACAAGTGCCACGCTACTAGTAACAGGTGCCTTACTAGCAGTAACAATAAGCTATTAGAAACAAGTGCCACGCTACTAGTAACAGGTGCCTTACTAGTAGTAACAAGAAGCTATTGGAAACAAGTGCCTTACTACTAGTAACAATAAGCATTTAATAAGAAGCTACTAGTCGGTCCAGTCCGACAGTCCGGCGGCAGGTTCGGGGAAGACGTTCGCCTTCGTGATCCCAACGACACCTGGACCGGTGCCGTTCGCTCCTGTTTTGGGGCCTCGGTAGGGTTGCCGGAAAGTTGTGGGTTCAAGTGGATCACTGCTCCAGCATACCCCTTGAGTCCTGAGCCTGAAAGGATTCCAACAAAAACCTACAAATGGATGTGGGGTCATTTGAGACGTACCCACAACCTTGGATCAAGGCTATCATTTGGCGAATGTCCAGCATGCTCAGTCGATCTCAGTGATCTCTGTCTATACATCCCAAATAGTCTTGGGAAAATGAATAATTCAAGTGCCTCAAGTGACTCCATTTAGATCCATTTAGAATGAATATAACATAATGCATCATATTGCTATAGACATCTCGAGGTCAATGGATAATAAGTTGCGACGCCGAGGATCGCTCGTTTACTGCTGCGTGGCTGCCCTCCACGGCCCTTCTTCCCGGGGCCCACAGCGCAGGCGGGCTGGGGGGCTGGGTATGCTGGGTTGGGACGCCTCTTGATGACGCAGCTGGGTCTAGTGCAGCTACATTTGGAGGATTGTCCCAGAATCGAGCTACACTTGTAGTGGCAGTTGATCATCTCCTATTCTGGTGCATGTCTCATGGATGTTCATGGTATATTCTGCTCGATGGCCTGTAGGTTGGTGGAGCAGTGCTGGCAAAGCATACGGTTAAGTCCCTCCTTGGACAGGCTCCCAAAATAGTGACAAAACATCCTTGGTAAGTTCGCAGACGCTAGCAAAACTGTTGGGTTGGGAATATTTGGTGCATTTTGGTGTTATGTCGTTCCCGATCTCTTTTGAAATGCTTTTTGCCGGGGAAGGTTCAAAATTTGAACAAACACAGCGCCGGATTTTTACATTCAGATTTGTTCAGGTTTTTGACACATATCATACAACACGATTGATCCCAGTATCCCCAAAGGCGAAATACTTCACTTCAGACCAACTATAAGGTACATAAATGAACGACATCCGTTCTCCATGTCTTTTGTGAGTATATAGTTTGTAAGCTTTTTGTAAAGCATGCATCAATCCCAGACCCACCAAATTGGTCAAAAAAATGTCGAATCAAACCAGTTCCTGCTCGAGGCCAAAACAGACAAGAGAACCTAGATTAGTACCAATCCGATTTCTGGGGTCACCTAGGACCTAGAACCTTTTCATTCCGCTTCTTGAGACATGACCTCACGCATGCCTACCGATCTTTCCCGTCTCAGGGCTGCCCCGTGGTGCTGGTCCTCTCGCCCACTCGGGAGCTGGCCATCCAGACCTGTAGCGAGATGGAAGTCCTCACCAAGGGGTGACCCGACACTGAAGCGAATGCGCTCGGGGGGGTCGGTAACAATCGGCTCGGGGAAGAGGATACTGTAACGAGTCGACGAGTCGACACACGCCAGGAGTAGTCGAGGATCGTTGATGTTTTGGGGCTCACGGGGCACCCGTTTGGGGATTTGGGCTCAGTACTTGCCTCGAATGTGGCACTCTGTGTTTGTTCGATCCTGTTTGAATGTGTACTTGTTCTCGACTCGTGATTTTATGTGTTTTTTTCTTTTCAACCTTCCAACTTCCACCAAGTACAGTAGTGGGTTAGAGATTTCAGTCTCTCCAAGACTATATACTTAGCAAGCGCCCAACCCAGCTAGGTCCCAGGTTAAAGGTGCCAAATCTAAAATGCTGCTCTTTCAGAGTCAAAGTTCCAACCTTGCTACATTTGTCTCAGGTCGAAACTCACCCAGCTTCTTGGCTGATGGGAAGAAGTTGCAGAAGATCGCCAGTTTGCCGAGTGTGAGATTGTTGCATGCCTAGACTTTACATATTGAGTATTAAAAGGTCTTTGTCCTTGGTCCTTGATCCAAGAAGGACAATAGGTAGGGCATCCTGACTAATGACTGTGAACCTGAGCCTTGCAGTGGGCTTGGTCCTAATTCCACAAGAAAGGGGTCAAGAATCAAACGACATCATGTTCAGCCTCCTGATTCTGTAAATTAAAGACTCTGAAAACAGTTGATATCTGATGCTTATACTTCTTGCGTTTGTCAATCCCCTGCGCTCCAGCCAATATGTTCACGGATAGAGATGTTTACGCTACTTTGCTGCCAAACCCCAAAAGATTACACTGTCAGTGACCCCCAAAGGCCCAATTCACACCGCCTCCTTCAAGCTGAAGAAGCTACTAGGTTGGAGGCCATCGCTATCAGGTTGGAGGCCAATGCTCGCAACAAGAAGCTACTAGAAACCAGATCGTTGGAGCCCAAAGGGCCCAAAGCGTTCGAATTTCTTGAAGTTCACACGCCTTTTTCGGTTCTGCGGTTTCTTCTTTTCGACGCTTCTCGCAGGATGAGCATCTACGGTGGAGAGACCATCAAAGAAACGGCCAAGCGAGTGGAAACAGCTCCCATTGACATCATTTGTGCTACACCTGGTCGGCTCATTGCTCTACTGGATGAGACCAAGTATCTTGGACATGTGGTTTTCTTGATGTGGGAATTGGAGGTGACGTCATACTTCGGAAGATCCAAGACCTTTCACAGGATTGACATTTCCACCACGACTTCACCATTTGAGCTGGAGATCTTCACACACATCCTTTGGGACAGCAGATCATGAGCTGTTTTTGTTGTCCCAAAGGATGTGTGACAAAAACAGCTGAGAGAGGTTTGTGGCATTGATTTTGAGATTCCTGACAAGTCCACTGGGTCCGAAGAGAAGTCAAACCGTCCACTTCTTCCGATGGGCTGAATGAGCTGATCAATTTAGCTAGCGTAGCTTGGAGACAACGTCCTTGTCACCCAACAGTGCTGTGACTCAACTAAGTGAGATTTGTTCTGCAACAAGGTGTGGTATACCTGCCACACCCAGCTAGAACAGCCTAGAACAGCCTTCATGTTTGTCAAAGGAACAGCTCCTCTTACTCTGTTCGATTGATGAGAGGCTCGTTCGATGTGAACATCGGTTTTCAGATGCGCCAGGATTTCCTTGGCCTACGTGCAGACGGTGATTCTGGATGAAGCTGATCAGATGCTTGAGCAACGTCTTGAAACTCGGTTTCAGAAAGAAAACACAGAAAACACATCACCCAGTCGGATCAGATGTTTGCCCGGTGTAAGAATCTCAATCAGTTCAATATCATTCAAGATTAATTTAAAAGATCATGAGTCATAAATGTTGGCTGGATGTTGGGTAGTCTGACCCCTTTCACGGACTTTTTTGACGGTGCATGTCCCAGGTGTGTCCACGCCCTGTTTGTGTGTGTGTGTGTCGAGGTCTATCAGATCCAAGCCTAAGTGATCTAAGTATGTCTACTGCAAAGTTTACTGCAAGTGAAATGACTTTGTTCCTGGCCTTTGGGGTCCATGTTTGCTTGCATTTGTTCTTGAGCTGAAGACAGGGCACTGTGGCTTTTCTGATCGCTGTCTCAGGAGATCATGTGTGCAGACATCCTTGTGGGCAGAGAAGCTTTGATCAATCAGATGCAGCCTTTCTAACCTGATATGATGTTCAAGGGAAATAGATAGTAACTCCCTGTTTGATTCGGAGCTGCTCAATTGAACATATTGAACAAGGGACACTCAATGTTGCACTACAGGTCCTTGTCTTAACTCTCATGTGCATGTCCTAAGACAAGGGGGCTTGCGTGTTCTGAGCATCCAGTGGCTTTGTCTTGCACCCGGTGGGCAAACTGTGAAGGGCTGCTTTGTCCGGTGCTGTTGTGGCATGTGGTGCGCTCGGATGGCCTTGAGCGAAGAGATGTGACACCCGACCCGCGCTCCGAGTTGGACCGGCAAGGCTTTTTTCCTGGGATCTTGTGGGGGTGGAGGTTGATCAAATTCACAATTCAGGCTGCAAAAGTCCATCCATGGCGCTTGCTCCCCATGTCCATCCAAAACCTGAAATAGGTTCAAGTCGCCCTGGATGGTGGCTTGCACACTGGTTTGCGCTTCACTAGTCCAAGGAGGAGTGGGGGTGAAGGCCTTTCAGCGTTCAGCGTTGAACGCCGCTTTGACGGTTTAGGACATGCCGGCGCCCAGCTCGGGCCGCCAAACCTTGCTCTTCAGCGCGACCATCCCACAGACGCTTGGAACTCTTCAGTGAGTCAGGCGGTGAGTCAGGCGGGGACATGCAGAGAGAGAGAGAGAGAGCTATCAAGACTTGGACAATCAAAAGTTGGACAAGACCTCCAAATGGTTGGATGACGCATTGGAAAGTGGCACTCTCTGATCAGATGGCACTATTCTTTGTGCAAACCAGATCCTTTCTAAGCCAAGGATTCTATCGCTGCGTACCAACAAAAACAGGGCACGTGCCGGACGAAAACTTTTGAGTGGACTGTGTGCCGATAATCCACGGGGCAAAGAGCCCGTTGCAATGAACACTTGCCTAAGAATAGGACAGAATCCATTTGATTACTGAAGAAGTTATTGTCGGTCAAGTACCGATCTTTGTCAAACCCAGTGCTCCCAAAGCTGGTTCCCGGACATGTCCTGTTGTACTGGCGGTATAGGAACGTAAGAACAGTCGGGCGACCATTCATCGTGAGTCATGGGTCAAATGTGTTGCAACATCGCCCTTAGGTAGCTAGTAGCTATACTAGTAGCTTCTTGCTACTACTAGTAAGGCACCTTGCTACTAGTAGCCATGCATTTGTTACCAGTAGCTTTTTGCTACTCTGGCTCGCAAGTTAGCCTGGTCCATGTGATCTCCCGAAGCTCACAGTCAAAGACTCAAGCTGAAACCGTACCTGCTGTACGTGTGTGCCCTAGGATTCCAATCACCATTCTTTAGTAATGGTCTTGACCGAGTAAACATTCTATTTGCCCAGGGATTTGAACACGACGAATCCAGAAGGCTAGGGTGTGGATGCTTCTGGTATACTTCCCTACTGCTCATGACGCTCATGTATGTTTAAAACACTGTCACTCTGGTGCTGGGCACCGCTTGTTTCCATCACTCTATGGCTCGCTCTCATGAACCATCTCTCTGGTAAAGATATGTTTTTATCCTGGAGCTCAAGCGTGGAAACTGCTGGAGTATCACTAGTTTTTACAAACCGGAACTACTGTATTCATGTTGTGCTGGTTCCTTAAAAGTTGCTTTATTCCCGAAGATATGTTCACGAAAGAACCTTGCTCAAGCTTGGGATGGTGATGGTCTAAACCCACTAGCCCTACAGCAGATCGAACCCACTACGGGCGAGCAGGGCCAAGGTTAGTATTGAAGGCAGGCTTAGTGAAGCAGGACTCGTTACTAACGAGTTTTCTTGAGGGCATAAGGATCGAAGTATAGGGCCTTACAAGGGAGGTCCACCAAGTGTATCATCCCTCATTTGTATATAATTTAGATGTACATAATGCATGTGTGATTGACATTGGTTGCGCGAGGGTGGCCTTTATCTCCCACCAAAGTGGTGAGGCATCAACATGGATCAACTGCATTTCATCAATAGAAGCCATGCATGTCTTATTCATTCCAATACATCTGGAAGACATGAGTCCAAGGAAGATCCGGGACATGTGCCCACAGATTTTGCGGGAGAAGTGTCTTGGAGCGGCCATCGATTTTGCGTTCGGAGCGCGGAGGGTGGAGCTTGGCTTTAGGAGGAATCGTTTGGAACATGGTAGTAGCAATGGCCTCCAACCTAAGAGCAATGGGCTCCAAGCTATATGTTCCATACTTGTGGTCTCACGTCTTTTCTACTCGATGACTATGTTTGTGATCATTATGTCCGATCACGCAACAAAACTGAGTGATTGGGTTCAGAACCAAAAAACGGCCACGCAAACATAGTCATTCAACGTGCCGTATGACGCCATTCAACGTCCTTCAACCGTCCAAACGCATGACTTGAACATTGCAGGTGTTCTGCAGGTGATTCCAGACCTGAAGAATCCGTGGGCCAAGGCGAAGGGCCAATCTCACCATCGGCTTCTACGATGACGACAAGGGTGGTTCTTGTGAAAGCATCACCCAGCGGCTTGGTGAGGAGCCAAATTGAGCTGGTAAATGGTCAGGGATGAGCTCGGTGCAGTTGAAGTAGTTCGGGACATTTGAAGTAGTTCGTTGTAAAAAGGGTGACATTGACATGACTTATAATGCATCCGATGTCAGTTGTTAACAGCTCCATCACCTTGACAAGATTCTCGGTAGTAAGCCTTGCTAAGTTGTCTCCTGTCCTGGCTGGGCTGAGAGGACGCCTCAAAGGTCATTGTGAGGAGTGGACTGGCTTAATCTTTGAGCGATTTGCCAACGAACAAAGCCATCTGAAGCAATCCATTCATGAAGGGGAAGCTATAATATCATATAATATCCAGAACCCGCGAGTCAAACGCACCAACCACGCTTGGGATGAAGCTAGATGAGCCACCATTGAGTGCATCGTGAAGATGTGAAGACCATATTCTCAGACCAGACTATCTTACATTGGAAAGTAATTCTGCTCAAGCTTGGTTGTTCTTTCCGAGCAGAACCCGTTTGATTACAGTAGAATCTATGCTTGGCAATGTCGGAGAACACCATGTGTACTTGATGTCAACTCAAAGAATTTGCATGAAATCGTCTTTCTTGTTTGTTTCGCATTGGATGCTTCATGACTTCTAGGTTTGGAGGCCATCGCTAGTAGGTTGGATTGTTCCTTTGGCACCACTGTGCTGCTTGTTCCTGTCCATCTGGGTTTCGGAGGCTCCTCCGGTGGTCTCCGGATGAGAAGCAGCGCATCGGGGAGCTGATCCGGGACCTCCGCACCGTGTGGGATCGGACGAAGGGACCCTTGGAGAACGGGCCGAACGGGGTGGGCTGAAACAAAGAAAGGTGAAGGAGGAGAAGACCAGGAAGGGTAAGGAGTGGGGGAATTGGAAGAGAAACGGAAGATGCTCAGGATGGAATCCTGGTAACTGGAAATTGCTGGCAAACTGCGAGTTGTGGCTTCGATTCGGTTCTCAACTCTTCCTTGGGAGTTCTACACACCCTTAGTCACAACACGTATACCGTATATACCGTATACTTATAGATCTTCAAATCCGGGATTCGTACGACGATGCGGGATGGTGCGGATATCCAGCTACAGCGAGAGATGCGAGGCCATCCATAAAACCCCATGGCTGTTCCAACATGTTTCAACAAAAACTGTGGTGCGTGATGGACATCTATCCCACCAACAAGATCAACAAGCGACTTGAACAAACAGCAGATTTGGAATCGATGATCTCCTCCTAAAGTGAAACCCGCAAGTTGGAAAGATTGACCAAGAATGGTTTTGCTTTGGAGAACACCGCATGTGGCAATTTTCTTGAATACTTCGATCTGCCAGTTTGGATGTTGAAACCAACACTTCTGGGTGATTTTGTTTGATGCCCAAGGCCGTGTGGTGATCTTCTCGAATCTCCGCTTGACAGCAGACTCCCTGGCGCATCAACTGCAGCGGGAGGCCGGGCAACGCCGGGCACCTGTGAGAATGAAGGGGCCATTGGGTTGGACTGAAAGGTTCTGGCTTGGTGCATGAGCGAGCCAAAAGCGAAGTCATGACAGGGATGCTCAAGTTGAAGATGTTGAAGTTATACAGATGTGGGCTGTTATTTCCCATTGGTCTCGGTTCCCTGACACCTCTAGGCTGCCTTTTGACACAAGGTGCAAGCAAAACCTGCTCAAGGGATCAGAGCAGCAAAACCTGCAGCAAGACCAACCATACTCTCTTGCTGGAGTAGAGGGGAAGATTGCCTTTGCAGGCCTTTGTGATGTTCGGCCCTCTAATGTGCTACATTGGTCGTAGGTCTAGGTCAATTTGCAGATGGACTTCGGGCAACTCGTAAAATGTATCCCCAAATTGTCCTAACCTAACCATTCCTTATCTCCTTTTGGAGAACTGTTTGGGATTTGACTGCTTACCAGATGCCTCAGATATAGAGTCTAGACTGTCCGAGGACGGGGAGAGGAGACCCCATCATTCGGGCCAGTTCAAACCGACGCGACCCGGCGGTGGAAACACGTGTTCCCAGTGTGTGTGTGTCTCACAGCAGATACTGGGATCCCTTTAGTCTTCCTACTTCCATATCTCTGACCTTGATCGCCGATGGTATCCCTATACTACTAGTATACTATATATATACATAATAAATAATATATATATATATACGTGTATCTTCTTTTTGTATCTGAAATTGAGTATTCCTACGACTGGTCTTCAGCTCCACTTTCGCCCCGGGGCTCAGACCGGACGGACTGCGGTCTCCGCGCCACCGCAGGGGATGACCTGTCGGCATCTCCATGGGAAGCTGGACCAGGTGGGTCAATGATGGTCGATGTAGTTTTCCCCAAAACTATGGGATATGGTAAACCTTATATAGTCAAGTTTGTTCATGTTATGGTGCACACATTCAGATAGACACACACTCCACTGTTTTGCTGCTCCAAATGAAATGATGCGGAATTCTGCCGTATAGAACCGCAGCAAGTGGCCTAACATTAGGCTTGAAGATTGGTTTGTTGTTTCAATGTCTGGTCTGGTGAGTGGAAACGATCTCCATATGTGGCTGACTGTCCAGAGCCTTTGCTTATGTGCCCGTCAGGAAGTTCGAGAGAAGGTCTTTGATGGATTTCGACGAGGCGGGCAATCCCGTCCAGCATGACATGATGTAGGGGACAGGAGATGTCTCTATGTAGCTCTCTTGCATGGTCCGTCTTGCACGCTACGGTGGAAGAGGAAGAGGATCCATCTACAACAAGAAGCTGAAAGCCGCGAATATCATGTGTTTGAAGAAACTGGAGTCTAAAGTACAAACTGCATTCTAGAATGGAACTCCTTTGTGATTTACTGAACCACTTGTCGGCCGCTGCTTGCGTTTCTGGAACCATAGACTTCACGCCACGAGACCAAGAAGTTGTTTATATATCTATTAGAAAATAGGACTGACAAAACAAGCACCAAGTGACCGTTGACCAGATATTTGCCGTCCCAACGTCTATTCTGTATACGTCCTGGCCTGATGTGCGAAGACGAACGAATGGAGAAGCTGCACAGCTTTTGATCGGATTCCAATTGCAAGTTCCAGTCGATCTTTCCCCAGAGAGTGAGAGCTATTGGGCTTCTTACTTCAAGTATAGGAAGCAGCGCTTGTGTGCTATTGCGACTGAGCGGTTGCGGCGCAGGGTGTTGCTGCCAGATGTGCTAAGGGCAGTGGATCCTGTGCTGCTGCCCACCAATGTCTTTCACTATGACTATTTGGGGTCTACGCTGTCGTAATTTATCACCCAATCGGCACAGTCAGCCAAGACATTGAAGAATCTTGCTGGCTTAGATCAGCTTCCAAAGTGGAAAGATACAACCTCACCCAAGGATCATGTCCAACATAGGATGTTACTTATTTCGGCTCAACAAAAGTATTGAGTCGTTAATCTGGGGTTTTGCTGCCCCAGGGGATTTCGACATCTTGGTCGCCACTAACGTCGCGCCTGGCTCCCAGGTCTCTCATACTCTGCAGAAGCAAATCATAGAACATGCCTTGACTGTCCTCAAGCGCACTCTTGATCCTTAGTTATGCTTTGGTTTTGAAGAGGTTTCGTATTATATAAACCAATAAAAGGTTAAACCCTTTTCAGAAAACCCTTTTCAAAGGGACCGATCAACAGGATAGGATGCATTGCCCTGCTTCGTGTGTTCCAGTGCCGTTTGATGAGAAAACACGGTTGAGAGAACAGGCGATGCTGTTGAGACGATTTGAGCATCGATTGACATGTCTCAAGATGGATCCTCAAACAGATGGAAAAAAAAGAAACTCAACCCATCAGATAGTCACTGCCCTGACAAATTTCTGTTGTCCACCGTATGATGCATTTGGACTATTGATCAAAGCAAGGCAGGTCGGCTGAGCCGCCCCGTGGTTTCGCTGAGGTCCAGAGGCTTGGACTTTCCAGACGTCTCCCTGGTGGTTCAGTTCAACCTTCCGGACAATATTGACGTCTACACCCACCGTTCTCCGGCAATCGTCGCGCGTGCCGGCGGAGATGAATCGCAGACGCAGAGAGCAAGCATTTGGAAGGCATAAAGCACAGACACCTGGCAAGTGTGGGTTGATATCTTTTGCCACAGTTTTTCGGTGTGGGATGTATGGCCTTCCTAAGAACATTCCTTGCACCAACACAGTTGGTAGAGGAGGGGTTGGGTGTCCTCGCCAAAAGCGGCGCGAGCTCATCAATTTGAAGGCCCATCCAATCATGCATCTCACATATATCATTGGTTGTTAGTGCATCAGGGTACCCTCACTCGGCTTGAACACCTGGCAGCGCATGTTCTTCAAAGTGTTCGGCTTCTTTGTTTCGGTGTGTTGAAGTGCGTACGTGTCTAGCATATGAGTGTCATCTCTTCGGAACTGGAAGCAGCCTGCTTGTCAGAACAGGAATTGATTCCTGAAACCAATGACTCTTGACCAACTTCATACAGTATATTGACTACCATATGCGGCACATGCATGAACAAATATGAACAGTATATGAACAATATTTTTGGGTGGGGGGGAGCATATATTTTTACGCTTATGTCATCTTATGTCTGTGACATATGTGCATAGAACATCATACAACTAAATATACCATATAGTAACAGATATTGTATAAATTATGACCATGTAGACAATGTTTTGCCAACCCATGAACCATCTCCCTGTTCCCCCACCCCGTCATTCCCAGGGGTGGGCCGCACCGGCCGCATCGGCCAGGCGCGAAGAGACGGGTTTGGTCTCGTTGGCGGTGCGAAGAAGAGGAAACATGAGTTTAACATAGTTTAACCCTCCTTAGGTCCTGGGGGGTTGACCAGAAAATAGAAGAATCCCACCAGTTTCTGTGACGTGTACTTCTGGTTTGCATCAATCACTTTGCAGATAGAGTGTTACACTGGGGTGTAGTAGAAAGTGTTTATGGGTGTTTTGTTGTTTGCAGATGTTGAGAGGCCTTGAGAGGCCATGAGGTTCGCTGTACGACTGAGGGAGACAGTGGTAGCTGGTAGCTGTCGCCCAATGGATAGAAGTGGTTTTCAGTAGGTTTTAACCAGAGACAGACCGTTTGAACCGAAATCATTATGATCATTATGCCCATGCAAAACGGGATCATAGGCACACACAACACTGGATCATGTGCGGACACAAAGGTTGGGGATGGGGTGGGGCGGGGATTTGTTTTGCATCATTACAGCTTCCGAACGGAGATGAGTGCAGAGTGACGATGGTGTGCTTCCTCTATGCGCTGATCGTTGTTCCTGCTTGCATGTGCTTTGTGATGGTGATTCTTGGAATTTTGTTTCTGCCGTCCGTTTGTGCATCACAAAATCTTGGGTCGTACCTGTCCTCACGATGCAGAGTTCAGGTGTACCGATAAACCCTCATCCATCATCATCCATCATCATCCATCTAGGATGTCGGATCTCTTGTTTCCACGGGACGACTCGTCGAAGAAAAGGCAACAATTTGATATTTCAACCGTTTCAAGTTTGCGCCCGTCATCAAGAAACAGTTCGCCCAAGACAACCAGCTACAGACGTTCCCCAGCTACAGACAACCCGTCCACATGTCCCTCAATTTGCAGCATCCTATGCCCATCTATGCCCCTATGCCCCTGCGCCCCTGCCTACGCATGCCGCCCCTGGCACTTCAGGTTGGCCATGCTTTGGCTTATTTGGGCCCAAAGGATAAGAAGATTGCTGCGAAGCTGGTGGTGCCCTGGAACGAAGAGATGGTGTAGGGCGGGTGTATATAGGGTGTATATATAGGGCGATTGGGTGTCAAGTGTCAAGTGAGCTCAGGGTTAGAATGATTGGCTGTAGCTGGACATTCCAGCTACAGAACTTGGTAATGATCGTGTGGTGGTGTAGAAGATTGCTGCGTGGATCCAAGCTGAAGACCTCAAGGCATTCTGCTCACAATGGCCACTTTAACTATTTGTTTGCCATATGCCTTCCTAAAGATGTCCAGTGGAATGCCTAGTGCACAATCTCAGGAGTTTCTCGAGCTCAACAAGCAAGAAGTACCGGAGCGCACACCCGTGGCGCCAACCCTGGCGGTTGTGGGTTGTGGGATCCAGGTTCCATCTCCGGGCAGCCTGGTTGGTGGGCCCCGAGTTGGTTTACCAACCTGCCGCAAAACCAAACCAATTCCTCTCCAAGGAATTCCTTGCAATAATGCTTTGATGAGTGACGAAAGACAGACCATAAGGACATACTGTATGATATATGTGGACGAGCGGGTGATGCTTTGGCTACTGTGCCAGTCATCTATGTCGCTGTGCCATAGGATGGTCAAGAAGATGTTTGACACCCATGGATAGTTCTATCAATATTTCGGGCGAAGAACAGCGCTGGCTTGAACACTGGCAAGGATTCCAGAACTCTTGTAGAAGAATGTTGCATAATTACTCATAAGTTGGGCACAAATCCGCTTAAACAGTCCTAGGCCCGAAAGGAACTGAGTCTGAGTCCCTCCGTCACATAGGAAAAACTCTTAGCTTAACATCCCATTGGTTAAACGGACGTGGAAGAACTGGGCGGTGCTTTTTGCGGAACATTTCCCTTGACGTCCAAGAGCCAGCGGACCGCAGGACTACTTACGAGACATGGCCATTCGGGCTGAGACGCTGCGGCACAACCGATGAGCGTCCACCCAAAAAGGGGAGGAGACCGCTGGGCTCTCAACATCGGTCTGATGTGGTACCGTATGGTCCAATGTGATGAAAACCATGTGATCCAATTTGTTTCAGCTTTTTGACAAGGCAGGTCCCCTGCTGCACCGCAGTACAGGCTCCTAGCTTTAAGATGCTTGAAGATGCTTTAAGACACGTGTTCTGTCAGCTCAGTAAAAGCTACGTCAGTGGACTCATGCTGCTGTTTCTGTGCTCAAATTATTTGGTTTGATCAGGCAACACAGTAGAGAGGTCACTCGAGTCAGCAGTCGTGTTGCTTTGTGCAAGAGAGTCCCAATGCATGGCGCGGCATGACAGCGAAGGGTGGTGCACAAGTGCACAATAAGTATTTGATGTATTCCTCAAATCAAACTCCCAATGTTGGTGGCATGCACTGATTGCAACAAGTCACTGGCAAGACCGACATGCAAAACTTGTCCTCCTACCCAGGCGCCTGACTGGGGTTCCAGTCCAGAAGTTGGAGTGTGGTTGTGCTTGATTTGCTTCCGTCAGTGGCGTCGCCCGCCCCATGGCGTTGATCACTGATGGCAACCGGAAACTGGAGGCCGGCCGTTTTCGGGTCATGGGCTTGGCTTGGTGGGAAAAGACACTTAATCAAAAGCGTTGCCACTCTGAAGACACTACCAGTTGGTACCACTGATGATTCTGATGATGAGGACTTATAACATGTGTTTGGACCACCCGCGGTCACGTTAAGACAACCATTTCGCGTGGCCAGTGTGGCAGGATGTAGCAATTCTAGAGCAGTGCTGGGCAACTTCCCAAATCTGATCGGCTAGGATACCGTTGGACAATGTCCTGTGCCGATGTGAGAAACACTACACGGTTGCTTCACAGTCTACATATGGAGATACACCACTATCACACAAGTTTTTATTCTTGAAGGTTCAAAAGTCAAGACGACTTTTCCAATGTTTTTATAATCCTGCAAAACAATTGTGTTGCCTCATATGGTCGAATTTTGTCCCTCCAAAGCAGATGTGATAAATTCAATAGAGGTTGACACTTGACCGATAAGGCTGCTGTTTGTACGGTGCCCTAATGACCCGCCAGGCGGAACAAAGAATGTAAACTGTCGTGTCGCCCAGAAATCAATCATCCATTGATTCATTTCAACACTTTAACAGATTGAGAATTCTCTCCTGCCTGCAAGGAAGAAAGTCCCAACAGTAGTCCCAACATATTTGCTCGCAAATGCTACTTGCAGACCAGAGTTCTCTTCCTGCTTCTTTGTAACAAAGTCTGTGTTGCAAAAGATTCATCAAGATCATCAAGGCTTTTGAGATCTACCGAACTTCCGTCAAACTCAAAACATCTATGCTTTGATGATCCCAGGGAATCACTTCCAGCCAACAGTTGATAACAGTTGGGTTTGTGGCTTACATCTCTCAGCACCCCTTGCAAGTTGGGGGTCCCAGGAGTACAAGGCCAGGGAGTCCATCTACATTTCAGCCTTGGTCAACCAAGAGGCTGAGATGACCCGTTTGAGGCGCGGCGTGTTGATGACACCGCCGTTGTCAGGGCGATAAGATGTGTTGCGAAGCGGCGAGTTTGTTGGGGGAGAGATGGAAAAGGATAGGATTTGGGTGGCTGTCAATATGGACAGCGAGGTTCCAATACATGGCCCATCCACCAAGGCTGCGATGCTGTGGCGAAGCCTTTGTGGAGCCATTGGGTACCGATATTCGACAACTCTGCATCCTTAAAGCTGACACAATATAAAACTCTGGACCCTTTTTAAGAGGAATCTCTACAGGCAGGATCAAACGAGTGTAATCACTTGTTGCGTGTCCATGCATTTTTGTTGGTGTAGACTCTGAAAACGGATCCATCACCACGTTCCGTGGTAGACCTGGTAGACCAGATAGCCTGACCACCGGGGGAGCTGTTGTCCATGCGAAGCCGCAAAGCGCCGATGTAGTAGCAAGAAGCTATTAGGTTGGAGGCCATCACTGCTAGGTGGAGGCCATCTCTACTAGTAGCAAGGACGCTACTAGTAGCTTGTTCAAGGTCCTTGGCTGCTGAGATCATGGGCGCTTATGGCAATGTCTCCAAGGCAGCCCTGAGAGGCGGAAAAGACGAAAACCACTGAGCCACCGGCTGGGCATACTAGTAACAAGGTGCATCGCTACTAGTAGCAAGGACGCTACTAGTAGCTATTTGCCACTAGTAGGAATACACTTGTTACTATTAGCGATGCACTTGTTACTAGTAGCAAATGTCTTTTTGTATCAGGTGGTGTTGACAGGCTGACAGGTCCATGACACGTAGGGACATCCACACAGATGTGCCTGCATGATTGCTAGAGACCATATTGTTCAACTCTCCAGTTCAACTATGTTCAACTCAATGCCATACATGTTCGACTCCATCCCAAGATGGATATCCATGGTGCTCCATGGTGTTCCCTTTCACCAATGGATGACCATTAAATTCATGGTTGCCGAGCCATGGGAGCTGTGACATGCCCGAGGTCAAACTGGAGTAGATTTGATTGTCATGAGTTGTACAGGAGAAGGGGGCAACCCTCCTCATCTCTCCTCCACAAAGTACTATAAGTACTCTTACTGCTGGTGTAAATGGGTTGTTTGCCCTATTTCTTCTATCTCCCGCACACATGTACAAACACACACACACACCTCTAGAGAGAGGGATGAGCCCTACAGTGCAGCTACAGTACATTGCAGGTGAGCATTAGCACTCAGGAGTTGGTTAGAGTGACCCAAGGTGGAGAGTGGAAACAGTCTGCAGAAAATTTTAGTTAGGTACGTTCGCACAGTGTCCTTTTCAGGTTTTAGCCACTATTGCAACGCTCTTCGTTGGGCAATCGACTGCTAAGTGAAATTTTGCCACTGTTTCTGTACAGACAAGAAAGGCGTGCAGCGGTGTGTGAACATGGTGTGCCTTTGAAGCAGGGTGTGACACGCTTGCTTGCTTGCTTGCTTGCTTGCTTGCTTGCTTGCTTGCACTGTGCACAGATTCATTGCATATTTCATGACACCTGGTTGTGCCCCTTCAAGTCTAGTGTCGCCCTTTTTGGGCCCCTGGCGGGTCTTTGTGTCTTCTTTTGGAGGTGGTGTAGGACCTTTCTCCAACAACACGGGCCGAAGCCCTCGCTCAGCTCGGTGTTTCTGAAGCACCACTCGGCCAGGGGCGCTTGCAGATGCCACCAGCAACATGGGGGCATGACCATTCGGGCAGAGCGACTGAACGGGGAACCGAAATCTCCTGATCGAGACAACTTGCAGGGTTCTGTGTGACTTACTCTTTGGGAAAGTGTTGTCCGTTCTTGTGAGTCCTTGTATTTTGAGACGGAACCGGATGTTGTGTTGATCATTTTGTGTGTGTGGCACAGGCAGATGGAACTTGAAATTGATGATAGAGCAAGCACATAAACCACACATAAAGCTATCTTTTGCCCTTATCGCCACTGTGAACCCTACTTTCTTGCCACGGCGGTTTTCTTTTGCTGCAGGTGCTGGTGCTGCGGCAGCAGGCGCACCCCGTTGATTCGCATATTTTTGCACATGTCTCAACATAATGGAGCACTGGAGAACCAACCAATCACATTTCTTTGACTCTTGGTTCCACTGCTGGTCAGCTGAGCCGTGGCTTGGACAGATTGCAAGTCGCGCTACTTGAACTTGTGGTACCAGAGTGGCTTCTTTGGGTGTGACAATGTTGGTCTTCCAAGGCAAGAGCCAAGGAGCAGCGTGTGCGACAACTGAAGGATGACTTGGAGGCCCTGGAAGCGGGTGCCGAGAGGCAAGCACAGGAAGAGGTTGTGAGTCGAAACAAAAGAGGAAGGAAACGGCTGCGATTCGGAATGACTATAATATAAGCAACATTAACCATTAACCTGTCAAACATCCCACCACCAGAGGTGAAGGAAGAACCTTGCACCCATCGAGCATTTCATAGGCTGGCATGAGCATGCATGAGCATGCATGAACATCCTATGGTTGGCCAAGGGTCCATGTCATCATCCATGTTGACTTTTGAGGGTGCAAATCCAAGATGAACATAATTAGTGTCGCATTCTACAATGCAGTCAAAGTTGCCAGCCTAGAAACCTGAAGGTAATAGCACACTAGCAACGTCCGTGGATATGCCTAAAAGTTTGGTACGGCATTTGTCGCCAATAAAACTTGGGTACGTGAGCAAAATGACAGTCTGGTTTGAAGAGGGAAACATCATAACCAACAGACAATGTGTAATGTAGAATCTTGATGAATACAATCCCCCGGTCATGGGTTGTAAAGCCTCTTCGTATATTCATTCTACATTAAGCATGATCTGATCCCTTCATGTTTGTGTCATGCCGCTCAGGCTAACCGCTTTGATCAGAGCGACCCTGCCGGAAAGGCACTGGACACACGATCAACGGGAGAGAATGAAGCGATCCTGGCAGTCGGCTGTAGGGCGATCCTGGCGGTAGGTCCGGAGCTTTTATGGGGTCCAATCAGGTTTCCTTAATGTGATTTTCTTTGGCTAACCAGATGTGGATGTCGATGTTTGAATCCTAGATGACCAGTGAGTGCTTTCATCAAGACCTGCCAAGACCACGCGCACAAGATGCGAAGATCAACCGTCATCGCAGGCAAAGATAGCACGTGTTTGTGCATGTTTTTCATAGAGCTTCAAAACGGAAGACGCAGCATGCTTAGTAGAAACACGATCACGCAGCAAGCAACCTGGCATAACCTGGCCATGGTTTTCTAACCAATAAAAGCACAATTGTGTGTTTATTGAATTCCAAGAGTTCTTCCATTCTTATTCATTCTAAGTTAGGGAGTGAAACACTCTCGGCAGTCCTTGGATCCGCCAGGCCCTGATGCAGAAATGCAAGGCCACAACAGTCAATCAGAGGTTGCGCGATATGTTTCGAAATCCCTTGGTGGAAAGTGACAGGCATAGGAAAGAATAGTTAGCTAGTGTTGGCTACCTTGGTTCGGGATGGAATCTTGATTCTGATCTCTATATAAGACATTCTAAGACCCTGGCAGGACTGGTGAATCAGGAATCCCCACCAAAGCTACCAAGGCTTAAACCCGCCAAAAGCTGTCGTACACGATGATTCGCCCCGAAGGATTGACCCTTTCCAAAGCGCCGTCGGACGTAGAGGGAGATCCAAAACCGTCGGACGAGGGGCTCAGGACAACCCACGTCGATGGATCCTTTCTAGCTTGCGCCTGTCGAACTCGCCGCTGGATGAGTGTAGGCTGAATCATCGTCGTGAGCAGCCTAGATGCAAAAGATGTTCCCCAAAAAACTACATACAACATATTTTGCATGTATTTTTGTTGGTGGTAAGAGGATCAACCATGTTTTGCATCTATGATATATGATATATGCCTCATACATCGATTGCAATAGCAGTACGTTCTTCCAGCGCTTTTGAGGCGCTCCTTGCTGAGAACCGAGAGCTTGGCGAGCTCATGCAACAGGCGAACCCAGTGGAGCTGATTCGTGCAGGTCGTGCCTGGTGCAGGGCGTGGCTGCTCACGGTGGCTGCTTGCGTAGAGATCATAAGCATCAAAGGCAGTTGATACCTGACAGAATATGACTCAAAAGGATTGCCGTGGTGCTTGCTTGACGTTGCTTTTCTAGATATCACTGGTCTTGGATGATACGTTTGGCGCCCACATCTTTTGACCCCAAAACGAATTGAGTTTACCTCCCTCCAACAAACATGGAAGTGAACAATCCCTTTTTGTAGAGGATATCATGGTCTTTCCAGAGGTGGTGCCATCCACATAACCATAATCCTTTCAGGGCGGCATGACGGAAGCATCCTCGGAGCAGGCACTCCATGTTGCGAAAGCAAAGGTTTTGTGACAGAAGTAGGTGGCAGCAAAGAGCCAAGGAACCAGAGACAGCTGAGTCCAAGAAAGATGTGAGAATGGGCTCCCAGTACCACAGAATGGGTAGTCACTTCTTTGTCCCTTAGTTTTGCACAAGCTGATTTCAGTGCGCACTTGCTGGACTTGCTCAGCCACAGGTTGCACTAAATGTGGTCCTAGGCCTAGAAGATCACCAGATTCTAGATCCTAGCTGCCTGGGATCCTCGGTTTTGGCGACTTGTGTGTTGAGTTGAAGCACTTCCACTCCACGTTTATATACATATATATATTGATGTAATGACTCTTTCTCGTGTAATTATGTAATTGTTCACATACTAGTACTAGCAGTAGTACTAGCAGTAAGAGTAGTGGTGGTGGTGGTGGTAGTAGTAGTAGTAGTCGTCGTAGTAGTAGTAGTAGAAGAAGAAGAAGTAGTTACAAATATACCGACATATGCCACGCTAAGTACCAGGTACTGTACCAAAGCTACCTGTTGCTGGCTACTTGTTTGGTGACCCAATGTGACAGATTGGGTGGAACAACATGGACAAGTCTATGTCCAGGCCACCAGCAAAAGCAACTTCGACCAACCAATGGGAAAAGGAACCATCAAGTGAAAGCAAAAAGGCAAGAGTTGTAAGGCGATGAAAACGGATAGTTAAATCAAGTGAAAGCAAACAAGGAAGGGGCATCAGGCAATGAGAACGTAACACAACCACAAAAAATGATAACCAACAATATAAGCAAATGGATAAAGTAATGTATTCAACTTCCCAGTCCAAGGCTGACAAAAGGGGACATAGGGGAGGGTTGGGTGTTTTCAGTTCCCAGATTGGTGTTTTCCCTTCCCGTGGTGTTTCCTTTTCCCAGATTGGTGTTTTCGGTTCCCGTGGTGTTTCTGGTTCCCAGGTCTTGGTGTTTCCAGTTCCTGGATTGGTGTTTTCCTTGCCCAGCTCCTGTGTTGGTGTTTTTGGTTCCCAGGTTTGGGTGTTTTCAGTCCTGGACAATGTGTTCCCTGCCCGGCTCCTGTGTTGGTGTGCCCTTTCACGTGTTTGTTTGTCAGCTTTCGTTTGAATTTCTGGCTACCATTGCCCACCGCTGGATTTGAAAGCACGTACTCGTGTCACACAATTAAACAGACAAAGAACACCGCAAAACCATCAAAGCCATTCGCTGGAAAACATGTCAGTTTGCGTAAACCCACTGCCGCAAAAACACAAGGTACCCGGTGACACCATCATAACCGCGCACTGTACGAACACATAGACGAAAGCATACAGAGCTTCATTTTTGGCCATGACGCACTGGGAGACCCTCAGCGAAGAAGACGAGGCAGGTGATACAAAGTTATCTATCATGTAGTGTATCGCTCCTACCATGCCGTTACACCGCTGGTTTTGAAAGCACGTACTCGTGTCACACAATTAAACAGACAAAGAACACCGCACTGTACGAACACATAGACGCAAGCACACAGAGCTTCAGTTTTGGCCATGACGCGCTGGGAGAACCTCAGCGAAGAAGACGAGGCAGGTGGTACAAACTTATCTATCATGTAGTGTATCGCTCCTACCATGCCGTTACAATTTGGCATGTAACCTTGTACTGTACCAGGCCAACTGGTGCTGGACCGCCAAAGAATATTTGCGCCAGCACTGTGCCCTTACAGTGAAAACACCAGCCTGTAGCTTAATTGCAGCTGCTTCTGCTTACTTAGCTTTGCGCGGCTTAAGTCTGAGCCGACCAGGTTGGATTCCTCCGCTTCGCTGTCGTTTGGCCCTCAGCTGCAGCAGTACTGTTTGGTTCTGCAGCACGTAGTTCGCTCTTGTCCGTGCTTACTGCTGTGCTGGCTGTTGCTGTTCCCGCTGTTCTTGCGGCCGCTGTTCCTGTCGCTGTCGCGGTTGTTGTTGTTGTTGTTGCTGTTGCTTCTGTTGCTGTTGCTGTTGCTGGATGCGGCTGCTGCTGTTGCTGCTGCTGGTGGTGGTGCTGCTGCTGCTGCTGCGGCGGTTCTTCTTTGCCGCCTGTCCTTCTTTGTCGCCTGTCCTGCGTTGCTCATTCTGCCTTGTCAGGATGAGCCGGTGCGCGAAGAGGCTCGTGCGCCAAAAGCTTGCTCTAGACTCCTCTACTCCATTCAATGGCATGTTTGTCTGCAGAGTCTGCAATCGATGTTTTGCTACTCACACTGGCAGGAGAGGCGTCTGGAAGTGGCCTGGCCGTCTTCCAAGGTACCCGCGCAACAGCCCCTTCATGACCGTGTGGCGAATGTATCAAATGATCGCATGCCATGCAGCCAGTCCTTTGAAGAACCAGTCCTGTGTTGGTTTGAATCTTGTTCATCGCCAAATGTGACGAATGTGTCAGTGTGGCGTTGAGCTGCCGGAGCCCCACGTCTTCCCCCGTCAGCTGGAGTACATTGTGCCTTTGAAAGTGCCATGCAGTGCAGATGGGCCATTGAACATGGAAGCGCTCATGGGTATGATGCAAGAAGAAAGACCTGAGAATGCGATGAAATGTCCTATCTGCGACGCCCAAGCAGGCTTTCTTGCCAAGCACGCTTGGAGTTTTGGCCCCCTGGTGTTATTTCAACTGACTCGAAGCATCGGCAGCAAGACAGCAGTGGATTTGGAAGCAGAGCTCGACGTGCTTGGCCGTTGTTATGCTCTTCGAGCGTGTGTGTGTCACAGAGGCGAAACCAATTCTGGCCACTACCTTTTTTTTGCATGCTTTGCTGCACATGTTTACGTTCATTTCCCAAAGCCACTTGCCGTCACGCGTCACTTACACATCACTGTGGTTAACAAGTTGCATTGTCGCCTTCTGCAGTCTCTCTCTACGGCTTGTCGGTTTCATGTTGTGAGCTTGCGCGCATCTGAGGCCAACGTCGACGCAGGTCGTGTGAGTGCTAGTTTCATGTCCGTGCGCGGCAGGACTTAGCTGTTGTGACGCTGGGGTTCAAAAAGATTTGCCCACTTCCTGCTTGGGCAACCATGCTGAAGCGTTGCTTCTTTTCCATTTGCTTGGACACCAATTTCATTCAGCCACACTGGCGCAACCTTGCCGCCAAGTTCCTATCGCTGTCGCGGTTGTTTCTGTTGTTGTTGTTGTCGTTGTTGTTGTTGTTGTTGTTGGTGGTGGTGGTGGTGGTGTTCTTGATGGTGTTGTTGTTGTTGTCGTCGATTTTCGCATGTTGTTTGTTGATCGTTGTTGGTCGTCGTTGTTGGTCCTCGTCGTCGGTGCTGTGGTTGTTGTTGTTGTGGTGGTCTTTGTTGCTGTTGTTGGTGGTGGTCGTGGTGGTGGTGGTGGTGGTGAAGGTGCTGGTGGTGGTAGTGGTTGTGGCTTTTGGTGGTTCGTGTTTGTTCGTGTCTTTACAAAAACTCTTTCGCGTTGTCCCGCGACAACACAAGACTCCCACCACTTCGCACGGGATCACAGCACACCCGACACGGGAACCGAAAACACCGGACGCGAAAACCAGCAACACCGGAGACCTAAACGCACCGAACGCGGGAACCGAAAACACCGGACGCGGGAACCGAAAACACCCGCGCAATTTTTCCCTCTTCAACGCTAGGTGGGAACCGAAAACACCATCACAGGAACTGAAAACACCCGCGGGCACTGAAAAAACCGAGCCGGGCACCGAAAACACCGCCGCGCGGGAACCAAAAACCCACTTGGGAACCAAAAACACCGCGGGAACCGAAAACACCAACGCGGGAAGAAAAAACACCGCGGGAACCGAAAACACCAATCCGGGAACCAAAAACCCGGAGCCCCATAGGGGATCACAAGGGTACCTTCCACCGGGTGGAAGAGCTAACAACAGTGAGACAGGCTTTGTAACTCGCAGACCAGTCAAGAATGCGAAAAGTCCTGGCATATGGGGGCCGGAAGTCTCACACACACACACACCGTACACCCGTCTGAGTTTGATACGTATACAATACAGTTATGCCAAATCCATGCATAAAACCACACAAAAAGACTTACATTCCTAGAAACCATGTGGTCCCATGTGTTTGGATACACTTATATCTTTCTCCGTTTTTTTGCCGTCGGAAAAACTTAGAATTGTGCCAGGAGCGTCTCGCAGAGTTGCGCACTGCCTTTCAAAACGAGCAGAGGCGCCGGTAGTACCCAACGAAGACCTGGATGGTCACTTTGTTTTTTTGAAGAAGGAAAGTATCCAACCTGTTGATGAAAGATGACTTCCTGTTGCAGATGGGCTTGCTTCAGCAATGGCTGTGGTTTGCAGCACCACCTTCACTGCTTTGAGGCTCTGAGAAGACATGTCATGTGTGTGCTCTTCCTCGCAGGAAGAATGCCGAGCTCCAGCAGAAATGCACGGAGAGTGCCGACTTCTGCAAGGAACTCACTCAGGAGACCATGAGTTGAGCGGGCAAAGGAAAGAACATAGGAGACAAAGGCAACGACCATAGACTCCATAGACTCTGTTTAGTAATAGGAGCTTGGCCTTGTATGCACCCATGATTGCCTCCTTGCCGCTACCAAAAATACTAGCACCAAGTCCGTGCACAACAACGGAGCGCTGAGCGAAGTTATGCGATGGTTTGCGATGTATTTTGTGTTTTGAAGATTGTGTTTTTTTAAAGATAGGATTACCTGTTTGGCATTTTTCACTGTTCACACTTTGCTCATGGAAGTGCATGAGCAAGCTATGGATCAGGGGCAACACCATGGAATAATTATAGACAATGAAGGGCCGTGCACAAAACACAATGGGGGATACCGGAGATAGTCAAAATATGTGTCCTTTCTCAGTTGTTTGCAGGGCCCAGTATGTCGAGACACACCCCATGGCCGCTTGCCACCTGGTGTAAGATGTGCGGTTGATTCACTCAATTCAAAAAACTAGCAAACATGGCATGTATCACTATGACTGTTCTCTCTAAAGTGGATCATGCGGCATCAGTTCTTCTGCTCTCGCACAGGACAACGAGAAACTCCAAAATAACATCGCCAAGGTGTCCGGTTCGCTGCGACAGGCTGGGCAATGTCTGGCGTGAACCAGGATGCCTCAAGGGGCGACGAAGCAAAGTAAGCTGGGAAATGCTGGGAGGAAGAGCTGTTCAGTGATTTTTGGACATGATTGCAAACCGTCGCGGAAGTTGCATGCAACACTTTCGCACGCACAAAACGATGCAACATGCCAACGTCCTCATTTGCCGGCCTTTTTTCTCAGGCGCGGGCGGAGTTGGAGACCTTGAAGCGACAGCGGCAGGAGGTCAAGGCCCAGAGGAAGCAGGTCGGGAGCGGTCCGGGAGCGAGGTCGGGAGCAGGTCGTGGAATCCAAAGCCAAACGATTTGGTCCGAAAGCTGGGTGATTTGACACAAATCCTCCATGGATGGATGGATGGATGGATGGATGGATCGGGATGGAGGGTGTTTGTTCTTTTGTGATGAACTCTATTAGAAGAATTCATGGTTTGAGTCCCCACAAACATGTCTACTGATGTTCAGAGCTGGAAAGTCCAGGCTCTGACCTTCTCATACCTTGTCAGGAAATTTGCTGCTTACTTGGATAGTGGAGTGAGTCGCAGAGGCTCCTTTCAATTCGGGCAGCTGGGGAACGTGTTTGGTCAGTCTATTGTTTTGATGTCTAGATGATTCATGATGATTCTAACTCTTGTGGACATTGTGGACTCAAAAAAGGAGAACATGAAACACGTACTGTCCCTTGCAAATAGCATCGAGCATCACCTAGCCTCATCCATCCACACTATGTGCCTTTGGGATGCCTTTGGTTACTTATTGTGTTTACTTTCGTCAGGGGCGCGGACTGCAAACCTTCACAGAAAGCAGCCATCAGACCATCTTCGACCGAAAAGGAGCCAAGGAAAGCGGCGTTTGTCAGCCACTCCACTGGAGCAGCTCACTGTTTGATGGCAAGGCCAAGCTCCTGAAGCAGCAGGCAGCTGCCTTGACTAACGAACTGAGTGGCGCAGAGGCGACGAACTGGGTGTCGTGCAGTCGTTCCTGGTGTTTGCCGGTATCAGTACAAAGAGTGACCACAATGACCACTTGTGAAACTTGGGGGGTGAATGGCGACTTCTCAAAGCATACCTAACTTCCCAGGGCTAGTGAAGCTTTCCGATGTTATGTCTTGCTTGAATAAGTAATTACTTACAGGACAGAGCAATACTGAGTATAATTCAGATACTCTTCAGCATGCGAACCAGTGACAAAGGTCCTTCGAGGTATCCCATCAACTGGTCAGCTGGACCTGAACTTCCCAACCTGAGCAGAACATGGGAATGGTTCGAAAGACCATGCATTTCCCTTTGTTTCGTTCACCGAACCTCTGGCACAGGATTCAAACCCAGCTAGTGAGGAAATTCAAGCACAGTCTGTCAAAATCATCACCAGTTCCAAGTTCTTCAATTTGGAACTTATCTTTAGCCCACGATTTGTACTCGATCTTGGCACCCAACTTCTCACAAAATACAGCTAACATTATCGATTTGTGGAGGCTTGGGCAGCGCCAAGCCTGGATCTGGAGCCTGACGCCTTTATTTTTGGAAAACGCTCCCTTCTTTGGTTTCGACCAGTCGGGATGGAGTCCACGCTGCCACCAGATACCGGCGGACGCGGCTGTTGAAGTGGTGGATGATGACGAGGCCGGGGGGTGTCTTTTGGGAGGATGGGAAAGAATGCTCAGAAGGACGTGTCAAGCGTGAGGTTAGCTTTTTCTGACCGAGGCTTTTTGTTGGCTAACACACTCTGGAATTGAGGCAAGGCTTTTCAGCGAAGATGATGTGATTCTACACCTCAAAGGAAGTTGCTGACATTCATACTGTAGTCCTTCTGTGAAGATCAAGACAAGATCAAGTCCAACCCAGACTTGTAAATATGCAGGATGTACTCAGACTTGTATGAGACCCAAGGAGTTGATCATGAGTTGATATTTATATAAGTTTTCTTTATTCGACATTCACCAATGGTAGATCTCAAATCCTTGATTGGATCCGGGGAAGTCCAGGGGACCGAGAGGGCCGGTCGGAGGCCATGTGTGAGGTCGTGTTTGTCTACAAGCGTCTACAATTGACAGACAAATCATGGGATGAAGCTCACAATAATAATTTAGTAATATATATATATATATATGTAGTAACATCTGTAATATGTTACAACATGTTCAGACAGCTTAGGGTATGCAACCTGATGTACAATATGATCACACTAAATACAAACATCTTTGCACCTCATACAAAATGTATAGCTGATGGCCCTGTGCATGCTTGTCAAATGGAGCATCCCAAACTCCAGGGACCCCAGGTGCGTTTCTGTCAGCACCTTCACCATGCAGGCGGATGCAGCACCAAAAGAAAAGAAGGCCAAGAAGCGCAAGAAGGCAAGGAGGGGCCTCAGTTAGCCCGCCTCAAACCAAGAAGCCGATGCTTATTGCCCTGCTTGTCCATGCAAGTCCGGGGAAGTTGCGCACTTTCAGAAATCCCATAGAAGTCGGGTGTTAGTTATAGTTATACCTACCCAGAACCACTTAGTCTTAAGACGCCATAGCACTCCTTTTGTGGGATTGTTGGAAGATTTGGGGTGTTTGCTACTGACATTTTTCTTACAGTATTCTAATTAATTCGAATGAAGATTGGACAAGATCTGTGGGCCACGGACTTTTGACTCGAACATGGCATCAAATTGTTGGTCTCGCAGGCTGAGGAAGGCGCTGTCCTCGGTTTGGGCAAGAAGCCGTGCTTGCTCACTATGCGTTTGTTGGACCGGAATGCACGTTTAAAGATTAGAGTAATTATGAGAACAGTATGGAAACATCAAATAAGTCACAGATAGGGATGCATGGATGTGTCAACAAACAGGGAAACACGGAACATTCAAGAATTTACCAAGTGACTATATCTATATATCATATATCATGTAATGTTGCTCTAATTATACAATATGAGTTTTCTTATTATGTTTTCTTGGGAATTTCCCCACATGATGGTGAATCGGACTGGGAATGTCTTTCATCGCCTGTTTTTTGCGTACCACGCCGGCTGTCGGTCCAAGCGCTGGTCCAACCCATCGACCGTGATTCGCTTTACAGCCGACAGATTCATCTTTAGGTTTGTTGGCCTCTTAGTGATATTGTCACAGTTATCTTGAAAGCCACAGTCGTGTTCGGGCGTCACTGGGCCTGTGAAGGAATTTTAGATGGACATAACAGACATGTCGGATGCCCAAGCTGCCAAGCCGCTACAAAAGATTTGTCACTCGGGTCCATGTCTGGAAGGATGCCTACTTTCACCTAACCCTTAAAAGCATGCCAAGTGAATCTAATTGTAGAGAGTAACGTATTGCTCCATTGCTGGGCTTAGCAACCGAGCTTCTTCCTTTGCGACGTGAATTGCTGCCGCTGCCTGCCACGTGACGTCCCGAAGCTCGGCGATCGCAATAGCACTGCAGGTCAGACTCCCGGCGAGTGACCACTGCAGGTCAGATAGAAAAAGAAAACTGTCCGGTTGAGACATGGCACGACAGCACGAGAACAGCAAGTCAAGGGAATAAGTCTGCCACAATCGAACATCAACTGCGGGATCGAGCACACGACATGAAGACGGGCGACGTTGTGGCTCAAGTAATTCAGTGACTTGCAGATGACAGACAGGATTGGACTTGATTCAAGCGAGGTGGAAGACTGGCAAGTATAGGTGAGGTGCTGGAATCATGGATTTAAAAAGAATGAGCTGCTTCAACCATATGTTTGTTGTTGTTTGAAGACATGGCCAATTTGACTGAAAGGGATGGATGCAAGAGGTCTTCTATCACCTCAACATCCCTCAACCCTCAACCCATTTCGCCACTTGGGCCCCATCATATACCAAAAAGGATGCTTTCTTGGCAGACGCATCCAGCCGGAACCACATTCATTACGATTCCTTATGCTTTTTTTGCAGCTACAGAGGTGGTGAACCAAAAGATACAAAAGTCAAAAGCCAAACGCGCGGGCGGAGGCGGCATCGGAGGCATCTCATTGCCCTCCACCCGGGCGCCCGGCATGGAGACGGGGCTTTCTCCAGCGGCTCTGGAGCGGGTCCAGAGTTGTGCTTAAGGATCTGGTGCCGTAGAAGATGGTGATAGGAAGATGATAGAAAGGTGTCTTTCAATTTGTAGCTGAGTGAAGGCACCCTGTTGCAGGAAGGTTCCATAATCACGATTCTAGGCACGGGCCAATCCATGAGTATTGGTTGGAAGCATCTGATCTTGGAGAACACTCAATGAGTCGGCCTTTCCCACCAGCATGTGTTGTAAGGAACCCTCCCAAAGCAAGGTGCAACAGCCCTCCAGACAGCCGGGCCACGACCAAGTCCAATCCACTACCTCGATGTTTTCTTTGTGGTGAAAGCGGTCCAAGAAATGCACGATGCTGACCACGTTTCCTCATTGAATTTGAAGTCACATGGCAAAGTGTGCCAAGAATGGGGTGGCCCTAGCAGGAAATGCCCTTTAGGTCCTATAGGTGACTTCGATGATGGATGCGAACTGATTTGCAGGACCTGCTAACACGAGCAGCGCAGAGCGCAGAGCCCTCCTGCCAGTTTTGGGGAGTCGTTGGCCGAAGGGATTGCCTCCCACACCACAGTGGCCCCATCCTCCTTTGGTTAACCCAGATGGTGTCCAAGACTTGAAAGGGTGTTGAGAAGACTTGATGTCCAAAATGTCTCAATTCATTTCTGGTGAGTGGACAATAACCTTAAGTCAGTTTCAAGAGTGCCTAGCCAAATGTTGAAGGCTTTTGCTTTGTTCTTACTGCTCTCACATTCAGAAACATGCCACTTTAATTCCTGAAGTTGTTAGCTTTCACATCCGAGCGCCAACGTATGCCAAAGCAATTCTTCTAAGACAACACCCGATACTGCAGACAAGTGCAGATGGCCGTATGGCTGTGGGTCAAAACCCAGAGCCCCAAACCAGGGTAGGTTGATCTCCCAGGTAGTTTGTTCTGTTCATTCTTGGTGGTCAACCAGGGTGTCCCGGTTTTGATCTACAGCCATATTCAGTCTCATGGAGGCAATTGGAAAGTCGATGGAGACCGAGTAGGCACTTTCTATGTCCGTTGCAATGCTACAAGAGAATGCACACCTTCGGCCCAAATATCTGCCAAATTCTGCAAATATATGAGATGAACTAAGTTCTCAACCTCCAATCACAAGCCAAAGAATCGGCTTTGCGGTTACATGGGGAAAGAAGAACAATCTTTGGCTTTCCTGGTCCGCCAGGTTGATGGATGAAAAGGTGCCTGGACACCGGTCGGATGCGCCGGGAAACTAACCGGTCGACGGGTCGTCCGACGGGTCGAAGTGAACACGTCGGTGGGTCCGAACAGCTCGGAAAAACGCTCAGAAGACCGGAATCGAAGAACATCGATATGGGTGTCTGTTGAATGGAGATCAATGAAGATGAATAGATGAATGAAGATGAATGAAGGGACGAGAAGCGACGAGAAGCGACGAGTCTCGGGCGCCTCTCGCATCTCTGGGATTGTCTATCTTCTTTGGGCCGATTTAGGCAGTTTGCTACTAGGAACAAGAAGCTACTAGGGGCTCCTGGCCTTACCACTAGGAGCAAGGACGCTACTAGGGTCTCTCCCTCCCTGTGATTTCTGTGGACAGAAATCTGTGCTTCAGGCGCATTCCGTCCTGATTCTATACAGACCTTCAAACAGATAGAACAGTAGATCCCACTAAAAAATGTATTGGAAACTGTTTCTATCTATTTGAGGACCACTATAGTCCTGAGTGAGTATGAGGCAAATTAATGACTATTTTGCATTTCGATGTGCTGCAGGGGACTGGCATCCTTCCAGTGCAATGCTGGCGGGCAGACCCAGTCTGCAAAGGTGAAGAAACAGTTGGTGTTTTTTGGCGCTTCCAAAAGGAGAAGGAGCACAAAACTGGCTGTTCTTTTTTGAGGATGCAAACATGTTTGAACGGACTTTGCCTGGTTGGGAAGCGGAGATGCTCCGAAAGAGCCGATGACACTTCTTCGTTTGGTTCCGTGGCATGGTTCTTGCCCACATCAGTGACACACACTGCCATCCTCAAAAGTTCCCTGGAATTTGGTGTCAACGCCCAAAGCTCAAGCCTTTAAGTGCCCAGAGCATCCTCCGAGTTATGAGTTATGAGGATGTCCTGACAGAGGGGCAGCTATTCCCTGGATTGTATTCATAGCAGGTTGTAGCCAATGCCTACGCTAGTGAAACCCTTTCAACGTATATTCCTTGGCAACAGAGGGTCGCCCTGGGCTCCATGTATGTCCAGGCGGTTTTTTTTAGCTCATCGCTCCACTTAGACATCCCAAACCGACGCCACCGTTTCCGAGGCGTACCATACTCCTGGACCTTGGATTGACGGAGAGGGTCGCGACGCTTGTGCAACGCAGAAGTGCGCGCACGGTCCGGGGGGTGTGTTGCACATCGGAGCCATCAATCTACTACTCCCCAAACCTCCTTTGTCCCAGGTGCTTGTTGGGTTAGTTGAGAAAGACTTTGGTATCTTTTGGTAGTCTTGTGTGCGACACTGCAGGATATCTTCAATATCGTTTTATTGTTCTTGCTTTTCCTTAGATCAACAGCCTCGGAACGTGCCAACGAGTCGCCAGATTCCATGCAGGAGGACAGCGAAGGTGCCAACTTCCTCATGGACTTTGTGGAACCATGTAGCCAAGGGCATTTCACCTACAAGCCCCTGCTGGTGAGGAATGCCCAATCCGTGCAGTGTGTGCAGAGCACGCAGCGGCAGGGTGGCAGGGCGTTCATATAACTGGACCAGCCAAGGCAAAAGATGTGAAATCCACAAGATGATCAGGGGGAGGGGGTCCAATGTCGCTCGATGTGCAAAGTGTGCTACAGATCGCTCGGAGTGACGTTCGAAGGATGTCTCACATCTCAAAGCAGAGCGTTGGTGTGCTTCATTTTGGTTCAATTTTTCTACCAACAGTTCTAAGTTCAAACATGTTCAAACATACAAAACCACAGACTTTCCGGCTTTCAGAGCGATCGTACTGGTATGGGTAATCTAGTGGATCAAAGATAGTAGTTATATGTAATTATATAGAGTAACAATACTGTAAGCATCATCATAATAACAAAAGACCCTTCAAATCAAGGGAGATACAGCATACAAGCATGTGGCAAGACAGGTCATCCCGCACAACCTAAGAAAAGGTGACCTTTGGTCCGACAGGCTCCTCTACTTCCTTGTGTTACCATCGTATGTTGGCAGATATTCATCCTTTTTGATGGGAAGATGACGTCGTGATTCTGAATCTATTTGATTTTCTTACAGTTTACAGTCAGTATTTGATGGTTCCTATTGGTGGTAAGAAACAAATGGCCTTCTTATTGTGTAGTACATGTTATGTCTTCCCCAAAGGAACTACAGTTGCCGGAAAGCGCCCCACCTTTGTTGTGGGCCCGTCTTTTTTCCCTCGATTTCTCGCCAGGCGGCCCTTAGTGCTCAAGAGCCGAGGAGGTGCGGAGAAAGCGAATCTACAGTAACTAGCCTTCTTGTTACTAGTAAGAATGCTAGTAGCGATGCCAGGAGCCCCGTTCGTAGCTTCTTGTTCCTAAGAACCCCTATAGCACCTCCAACTACACTAGCGATGGCCTCCAACTACACTCCGACCCATGAACCAGACAGAGGTGGAGTTCCTGAATGAATCGATTCTTCGAGAATGGATCTCAAGCCGCTTTCGAGAACAACGGGTTTGAGAGTGCTTGACCTTGTGAGAACTAGTGGGGGTCTAGTTCTTTCATGTTTGGGATGAATCAAGCAGATCCCGACCCATGACGCCCGCCCTGTGAGGAGAGAGGACGGACCAGGCGTTCTGGGCAGCGAACGGGCATCGTGAAGAAAGACATCGTTTTTAAATGGAGCGGTTTCGGGAAAAACCTGCTGTGGTGCCAATTTTCTAGTAGATGTAGGCATTCTTTCAGGAGTGTGGGATCTTGGACAACCTGCCCTTGGTTGGAAGAGTGATTGTGACTTTCCTGTCATTATTGTCCCTGCAGTGAGGAACTACCAGGGCCCAATGTTTTTGCGCAAAGCACTCCCAGGGAAGCCGCCCTTGGGTCAGCTACCATCCCCAGAGCCCAGTCCAGGCATGAGGGGAGCTGACGGGAAAATGGGAGAGTTCAGATGATATCAGATGATGGGTCGTCAGACTTGACACGTTATTTCCACAGAGAATTGCAATGGACCATCGTTGAGAACCACCTTGGAGGGAATTCCTTTGTAAGTAATCTCGGAGAGCTCCCAGAGGTGTGGGATTTGTTTGGAGAGTAGGGGGGCATAGGGGGCCAATTGGGAGGTCTGGAACATAGGGACTTGACTCCTGAACTCCTGCATCAACTGATTTGGTCTAGAGTCTATATATCTATCAAATGGTGTCAGTTGAACATATTTATCAAGTAAAAATAGATAAAGTTCACAATTATCGTATGTA